CAGCTAGTTTTAACAAACGTTATTTTTTTATCAGCTAGCTTTTCAGCTACCGGTTAGTTTTTTTATTTAATAGCTACGTATTCAGCCATCAGGTAGCCTTTTAGCTAATACGCTAAATATATCCTAGGAATCAACTAAAATAAACTGATTTTTTTGTTAAGGTTTTAATGTAGGACTGTATTTTGTCAAAAAAAAAAATACAAATTATTAATAACATAAAGATTAGACCTGACAATCATGTCGTGTTTGGGTTGATGGATTGGCGTGTCCAAATATACCAACCCAAACACAACCCATTTAATTATATATGTCACAGGTTGGCAGGTTAGGAACATAAACTCATATATGACCCGTCAACCCAATTATTTATACAGGTTCATCGGTTGGCGGGTTCGTGAGACAGATTCCATAAATGAAATTGATAATTAAATGTGGCTAAATTCTTGATGCAAAGCTATCCGAGTTTTAGAAACATAAGTCTTAAACATCCAAATGAAAATTATAAACATTCATGAAAACATGTTCAAACTAAAACATTAATACAAACGTAGATAAATTCAATCTTAGGCGTCGACGCCGTTCGATAATGATTCAATCGTTCGTGCCGTCGTTTTTGTGGGATATATAGATTGTTTAGGGCAAACACCAAACGCGTTGCAATGCAAATCAATAGATGGTTACCCACCGGTCAAATAGTCAATGATATTGAGTATCTTATCATAATATAAATTATAAATTATATAGTATATAATACTTAATACATTTAAAAAATATATAACTCTTTTATTAAAATTCTAAACGGGTTGGCGGATCAACCTATATATTTTTGAGAAACCCACATATGATCTGTTTAATAAACAGGTTGACGGGTTGATGGGTTGAAAAACTCAACCCGAACATTTTTATTTTATTTTGTGTCGTCGGTCGTATCGTGAATTGTCAGGCCTAATAAATGTCTTCTAATATTTTTATCTTTCAACTTTTGAAATGGTTGAACTTTATTGCAATATAAAAGTATTGGATAGAATTACACTATATACTAATCTATAGATCTTATTTATTTAATTAGACATGATATTTAATAGTAAAACTTAATTATCATCTTATAACGTGTGAGATGACAAACCGGCGACAAAAATACACTGATAAACCTTTTGTATGGTAAAAACAATTCTTATATTTGCATTTTCGAAATCAAAATTGATATTAAGTTTTTTTATTCCCTGAAACAAACAATACATATACAGGTTCTCTTGTTCAATCAAGGCCTAGGAAAAGTGCATGGATGTCTAACAAGTGAGGTTTGGTATAGGTTATCTCAATGGGTTGATAAACCCTATAGGAGAGACATGACAAAAATAAAAAAAGGGTCCTAAAAACATGCATTTAGTGATGTCCATGTTCAATGGTTTTGCATCTTTTCAACTTTTAAAGGACTATAAACATTGTATTCAAATGGTGTTAGCTATGCGACTTTTTATTTGTTACTATAACAAGTACATTGCCCTATCTTTGTACTATCTTGCCAGAAATTATTCACCAAATATGATCTATAAATGGCATCGATGGGTAGTAGTCTTTTTTCTCCCTTGTCTAGGAACATTGGAACGAAATGTGGTCAAAGTAGGAGCTTTTGAAAAGACATCTCGTGAACATACACTGAACATTACCAAATTATATGAAATGATAACCACGTATGTGATTAAACAATTTGAGAAAAAATAAATTTGAAAGCTAGCCATCTTATAAACTTATGTACAATCAATCATTATTAGTAGAAAGATAAAGACAAAATTGCAAGAATGGTCCTTGTGGTATGTCAAAAAATATCACTTTGAGCCAAACAGGTTTGGACTAGCACCAATGATCCAAAAAGTTTTATTTTGTTGCGAGTTTGGTCCATTATGGTTTTAGATGACAATTTTGCCCTTTGTATTTTCTTTTTTCAATTTTTTTACAAAATAAATAACAAAATAAAAATAGAAAAGATAAGAAAAATGTTCTCTCTCTCTCTCTCTCTCTCTCTCTCGTTATGTGTGTGTGTGGTGGAACCTCTCATCTCCTCACCTGTCACCTCTCATTCTCTCTCTCTTAGGGAAGCACACACAAACTAACACCCTAACTGCCACCACTATCCGCCATCACCACCGCCCTCACCAACCTCTGACGCCCTCTTCCTTCTTCTGTTAACTCTTGGCCGCCACCACGACTATGCAACCTTTGAACCTGATCTGATTCCCACACCACCATCATCAATCTGTTTTAAACGTTACTTTACGAAACCCTAGTGCCGCCACCCTTCTGATCCGAAACTAGGGTTTTTCTTCTTCAAGCTCTGATGAGAAGGCACCATCGCTGGAGAAGGGGAGAGACAAAGTTAGGTTTTAAAGAGGATATGATAGCCGCTAGAACGAGGAGGTTTCGACGTTGCTAGGTTTTGCATCACCTCATTTCTTCTTCAGATCTCAGAGTAAAACATATACACTCCATATGCGACTCGACGAAGGTGATGAAGTTGAAGGAAAAACTGGTAAAGAGGGATGAACTGATCCGGATTTTTCTTCGTGTTCGACGATGTAGGGTTTGCAGAGGTGAAGTCGTTATCGGAGCAGAGGCATAGAGGACAATCCATATGAAAACCCTAGCTGCCAACGCAAGGGTTTGAGCGACATTGTTGGGTTTGAGCGTCTCTCTCCTTTCTTGCTTCACCCCTTCACCACAAATAGATCTTCGGACCTCCCTTCTCGTCTAGTCACTGGAATTCCCTTTCATAGATCAGAGGCGTAAAAACTACCAAGGGTTTAACCACGAAGGGCGGTGGCGTTAGGAGGCAGAAGAACGATTAGGGTTTTATAGGCAAAGACAGTTATACGAGGCAGAAGATCGATCTACGTTTGTGAAGGTTTGAATTGATATCAGACCAAGAAAAATTTGAAGCTCCGATCTTCGATCAACATTTCTGTCTCTATGTGTTCATGTATGTTAAATTTCAGATTTTTTGTATTCGTGTATGTTAGAAAATCTGGAGAGAGACTGTGGGTTCATCAGTAGAGAGAGAGAGAGAGAGAAGGTGGTTTCCGGCATGTGAAAGTGGTGGTTCTTCATATTTTTCTGCCAGGTGATGGAGGGAGAGAGAAGTATTGACCGGTGGTGGCCGTGTTTACCGAAAAGTCGAGGCTGGTGGTGGTGGTAACCGGTGGTGCTGCTAGTGGTTGACTAGTGAAGGGGAATAGAAGGGGAGACAGAGAGCTATATGTATTTTTTTATTTTCTTTTAATTAAAAAAGTATTTAAATAAATAAATAAAAACTGAAAAAGCAAATACCAAGGGCAAAATAGTTATTATAAAAAAAGTTAAAGTAAACTGGACCAAAGTGACAAAAAAATGAAAACCTTTGGACCATGAGTGCTAGTCCAAACCTGTTTGGCTCAAAGTGGCAATTTCGACCTAACCTCAGGGACTATTCTTGCAATTTTTTCAAAGATAAACATAGATGTTGTGTTTTCAGTTAAAATATCCATGGGGAGTTGAGAGAGACAAATTGCACAGCTGCACATGGTTCAATTTTTTAATTAAATTTCTTTATTTGAAAATAAAAACTTATAATAATGATAAATGACATTTTTATTCAGCTCGTCTTGGGCCTTTGATATTTATTTTCTCAGGAATAACCATATAATATCAACAAACAACTTCGGATATTTGAACGAATGTTTGTGAAAATACTTTTTAAAATCTTTGATTTTGGCCATATTGTCTTGGGGTACAACGGGGCCTAATTAGGGATAACCCAAAAAAATATAATCTGGATTTTTGGCAAAATCCAAAATTTAGTAACAAATTATACATTGCTTGTTTTATGCTCTTTGAGACATGATCTTTTCAAAGTAACATTAACAAATAAATTTAGTGTTTGTGATGAATCAAAATCATGATATATACAACAAATGATAGTTATTTTCAGTTTTTTTATGCGAAAAATCGTGTTGGTTGGGAACAAACACGAGGGTTGTGATTTTGGCAGAAAAATTACGAACGATGCTTTATCTCTTGGACCTTTATCAACACTGCCCTACCCACCCCTCCATCATATCAAATTATGCGAGTGTAGACTTCGTACCTTCCAATCTCGTAGCATAGCTAAAACTAACCGTACATTGTCTCGATTAATTTCGATTATATTAAAATGCTTTACGACACTATACTCACCAACATTCTTTTTTCTACTTTAGGACGAAATTGAGTATCTCACCGTCAGATAGTTGATTTATTTATCAAGTCCATAAGTATTTTGTCAAGTGGTCAACTAGATTTTGGTGGGATCGAACTCTATAAAAGTTATACCATCGTTGATAATCTCATGTACATGGTGAGTATGCTCTGAAGCAATGCAGGTATTGAATTACTTTTTGTTTTGCGACATTTTTTAGAACTGTCAATAAGGCTATGTTTTTCTTTGCCCATCAAGTTTTAGAGTTTTATTAAGAAACATATATATATATATATATATATATATATATATATATATATATATATATATATATATATATATATATATATATATATATGCATGTGTGTGTGTTAAAATTGGATTATCCCTAGAAATAGTAAAGTGCCTAACGATTTGGCAAATTCGTCCACTTATTTTCTCTATTGACCATTTTGGTATTGTTTTTCGTTTTCTCCCCCATGGACTTTTTATATTTGTGAATTTTATCACTTTTAATCACCGGCCAACTTATACATTCCTGATAAAAGTCTGGTTGTTTGCATTTAGAACTGCACATGATAGATGTCGTGTACTGTCGTGTACACGTGTTATGAACTGTGGATACCCTGATAGTTGATACGAATGTCTCTTGGACACGTGTTATGAACCGTTGATACACGTATGGTAATTAACTCACAGTTTGTTCTTCCAGTTACAGTGTCCACCGCCTCATGACATTTTTGTTTCTTCTACATCCAACAAAGAGAAGTAATATCAGATACCTTTCTATATGACTTCTCAAATTCTTTCGGTCATCGCCATCATCTTCAGTCGGCAACAACACCAGCGACCCACCCCCAACGCACCACCATCGATCGCTTACTTCCCCCAACGCAGCACCATTGACCCCCTTCACCACCACGAACCACCTTCATGGTCCACCTCCTGTATGTGTCCTCCTCCAACTATCGCTTTCGGGATCCTTCTTCCACAACCATCGTCTCCTTAAATCACCATGGCTCAATCGACATTTCTCATTTGTCGATTTTAGGTCACTATGACCACCAGGAGGAGCGCAATAGCCACCGTCGCTATAATATTTAATATTTGTCTGCTTTGTTGTTTATGATTTTGGGATTAGGCTGATGCTTTGCTCACCATCAACGGACCTGCACAACGCATATCGTCTTTCCTCTTCTATTTTATTCTACATATCTATACTGCCTGGAGGAAAAACATACTTTCGATCCCTTTGTATTCTATCTTTTGTTCAACATTCATCGAACCTTAAATTGCCTCAAAGAAAAGCTTCACTCCGTCGTCTCTCTTTGTTCTCATTTACCTAATTCCTGCTCCCTTCATAACATCTAGTTGTAGGTAAGTACCATACCTCTATCTCTATCTCTAATTCTCCATGATTTTCATTTCAATAATCCTTACTTTTTTTTTTCTAATGGTATACTTTCTGAACCTTAGGGACCACTCAGGGTGAATACTCCGTCAGCCATTGATCATCCCTTTCACCTCGAATTGCTATAAAATTGGCAATTAATTTCAACCCATGTGGAAGTCAAACATGTTGAAGAGGCTAACATGGATTCAAAAATTTTGTTTCCGATGGTTCAATTTTCCTCAGAATCTCAATTTTTGGTTTCAACGATGTAATATTTTCTAGTTTTTATTGTTTTATGCATTCATTTTGAAAAAAAAAATGGTATCTATGGTTCTAATTGCAATCGTACTTCTAAGAAATTAAGGGTCTGGTATGCAATATACTAATTATGGTCATTGTTCCTTCACATATACTCCGTCCTTCGATATTTTTAATTATGAATCGACCAATCACCCAAGTTATAATTCTCTCTAAAAAAATATGTTGTATCCTTAGTTTGAAGATTACCTATGGAGTTTTCACTTATTTTATTGTTATGGCAGACTGTGTCTGTTTGATACCAAATTCTTTTTTGTTGAACTTGAAGAGGATGCTTTCAAACCTGGTTTCCATAAATTGGACTTAACTCCAATAATCATGAGGTATGTTTCAATGTTTTCATTTCAATGCTGAAGATTCACTAGATTATGGGTTATTGATGGTTTTTTTTTTTCTTGGATTAGTTTTGATTACAAAAAGGGTTGGTGAAAGAAACATATCATTGAAAGGATTACAGCTTCTTTGAAATGCCTGGATATGTAGTATGTCAGTCTGATTTATTGTTAACGATGGGGACCTAATTTTGGATTTCAATCCGTTCTTACAAAGGGGTTTCAGATCACCCTATCACTAGATGATGGACAACACTGTGTTAAGAAGATTTTTCATATTAAAGAAGTGTTTCTTTTTGTAAACAAAATTTAGGTAATGAAAACATAGTTCAATTCAAATTTATAGGTTTTAAGTTCTAAGTTCTCTCTTTTGTTGTAGTTAGTCATTTTATGTTGGGGTGCAAAGTTATTCATGTTTGACTTTGTAATGGTTTGACTTTTGTAAAACCCACTTGCATGTGGTGCATTAGCCTTTTGACTAATGAGTTAGTGAGAGTGAGAGGGAGACATGTAAACACCTCTATATAAGGTGGGTTTAGTCTACTTGTAGAGGTGTGCTTGAGAGATTTAAAAGTGAGTGTGTAAGTGTGTGTTATTTATGTAGATGTAGATCTATGCCCCTTTTCGTAGCGCCATACATAATCAATACATGTCGTGAACACCCAAATCACCATGTTCATTGTGCATTCTTTAATTCTGCATGCCAAACCATGTTTTTTATGTCACTACATTTGGTATCAGAGTGGGTCTTCCAGATCAACGTGATTTTTGAAGAACGATTCTCGGTTTGGCAACTTTTGTCACAATGCAAGCAATTTTGGTGAGTCTCTCTCTATGATCTCTTTTAATTTCATTGAATTCGTGCGTTGCGTTTTTAAGTTTTGAACGTTTTGACTCGTTGGATCAAATTTTCTTTGAAAAATCCATTTGTTGTGATGCAATAATTTTTTGTTGATCAAGATCCGATCCAATCTAATATCCGTTCGTTCGATTTGATTTTAGAATTGCAATTATTCTTTTGAATGAAAATATGACCCAAAAATATAATCAATCGTATTACTGGTCTTCAATTCGTGTTAAGCCCAATTAAAATTCATATTAATGTTCATGATTAAGCCCAATACTCTTAATCTGTTACTGTTCACTATGAAGCCCAAATCCATTTCGTTGATGGGTATAGAATTGATTTTAGTTACATCAACTGTTTTTGAAGAGTAGATTTCTGAACGAATATGATTTTTGGAATTGAAATCGTAATTTTGTTCATATCGACTTCTCGTGATGGTTCGTTCTTCGAGATTGAAGGTTTTGAAATCATGAATGAAAATCAATGTTGATTGCTACTAGTTTACTTTTGATAGACGAAGCAGATGATTCATCCATGGGAAAGAACTGAAATTCTTTGAATTTTGATTTTCGATTTTTGAAAGTTTTGGGTTAGTTCGAGTTTGGATTTTGAATGCGATTGGAAACTGATAGTTCGCAGATTGAATTGGGTTTTAAATGTTGATGAAAATTCGAACATTTTTGTAACTGGGTTGGAAATCAAAGGTCAAAGCTATGTTCGAAGCTTAACTTGGTATAAAAGATACGAAGGGTGTTGTGGAATGAATGAAGAAGAGAAAATTTCGTACGAAGGGTGTTGTTCTTTTAAACGAAGGGTTTGCTTTACGAACAAAGAAATCGATTATATTAGTCAAGGTTTTGAATTTCTAGAAATCATAATGAAATGGAATTATAGTGAAGTTTCGAATGGTTATTGATGATTTCGTCATAGGAAGGGTTAAAGTTTCGTATGAATTGAAGAAGAAAAGCAAATTTTCATATATGACCCTTAAAGTTTCGATAGATTGGCTCATTTTAAAATTTTCGTACGAAGGGATAAAAGTTTCGTATGTTTTGAAGAAAAATGGACAATTTTCGAAATCAGTCCCTAAACTTTCGAATTTTTGGTGACTTCGACAAATGGATCAACTTTCGACAATTTTCCAGTTTTCACCCCACTTCGAAAATTGGCTGAAGTTTCGACTTTTGGGGGTGTACTTCGACAATTAGGGTATTTTTCGAATGTTTGGAGAACAAAGGGAAATTTTGTTGAAAGTAGTCCCCGAAGTTTCGAAAATTTGGCAGCTTGTACCCAAATTCGAAAAAGGACTGATTTTGCTAAGAAATTGAAGAAAATGCATTTCAGGCCCCTATAGTTTGTGCAAATTGACGCTTTCTACCCAGCTTTGGAAAAGGGGGAGAGTTTTGCATTTTTGGCTGTTTTGGGAGCACCGTGTCACTGCCGAATTTTGAAATTGACAATTTATGCCCATTTTTGAGAAATTTTGTCAAAGGTAATCCATGAACGAAGCTAAAAATTGAATATTTTTTGGATTTTCCGGATTAAATCACAAAGTTTATGCCACATACTGAATGTTCGGTTTACAACTATCTGATATGTTCTATGTGCTAGTATGCTCTGATATACGTGTTAGTAGTAGTAGGGGTGAAATAGTCCCCAGATACCGATTGAAAGAAATCGAAGGGGTAGTAAGTACCCATGCATGCCTAGTAGTATGTTCATGATATGATTCTATGTGATATTGGTAGTAGGGGGAATAATCCCCATATATGGTCGATAGAGCCAAGGGCTAGGTCGGACACCCTGTATGTCTAATTATATGATTATGTTATGTTTCTATGTGGTAGTGGTAGGGGTGAAATAGTTCCCGTAACCGGTTAAGATAAACTGGAGGGGTAGGTCGGACACCCTGGTATGTCTGAGATGGGTAGGTCAGGCACCTCGTTTCGCCTACCAGGGGTAGGTTGAGCACCCCAGTATGGTCAACAGTGCAAGTTGGGCACCTGGATATGTCTGGCATGGGGTATGTTGGGCACCCCGGTTTGCCTGATAGTATATGTATTGTATGGTATGTGGTATAATGGCATAGCTCACTGAGCTTCGTGCTCACGATTTTCAGTTTTGGTTTCAGGTACTTCATTTTCAAAGGAAAGGAGTCGGCTCAATCGCAGCACATCACACTATGTTTTCCGCACATTAAATCTTTGGGGTTATACTCTTATATGGTTTTATGATGACATGATTTGATTATTGACATACTGGTTTTGACATGATTTGTTATTATGGATGTTTTCTTATACTGTTGGTTTTATAATAACTTAATTAAAACGAAAGTTTTTGGTCTTAAATTTTAGGATGTTACAACTTGATATCAGAGCCTTGGTTTGAGGGATTCGGACATACTCTTGGGTGTGTTTCGACTCAAACTAAGGACTTGGTATGAAAAATTTTCAAAAGTAAAATTATTTTATAAAAAGAAGTTTGAAAAGAATTTGAATAAAGGAAAAGAACACGGTGTGTGATGCGTGCAATCAGCCGAGCTCAAGTAAGTTTTCCCTAAGATACCATACGTGTTATGTTATGATATGATATGATTATGAGAAATGCATGCTAGATTAGGGATAAGGATCTAGGAAGGATTCCTTATATACCTATTGTATGTGTTTGAGAGTTGCATGCTAGATAAGGGTTAAGGATCTAGAAAGATGCCTTATATGCCTGATATATGTGCTTGATGCTATCCATGATAGTACTGATCAGTCAGTGATAGGATAGCCTATTTAGGTTATGCCTGATTATATGAGCTTTTGAATTGTATGTACAGATTCTTGATTATAGGATAGAACGGTTTGATTGGATTATGATGGTTAGATTTTCCATTGTCTGAATGTTGTTTGCTTTTTGATTTATGGGACACTTAGTAACGTGAGTTAGCTACTAAGTGAATATGCCAAGTCACATGGGACATATGCCGGATAATCTTAGAGTGATGGACTTGACCGTATTGCACAACTCTCGTTTAAGTCTAATCGTTCTAGAGATGAATCTTTTACTCGAAGGACTATCCCATCTATGTTGCATGTGGATGTGTTCATGAGGTAGCTAGTTGACATTACTGGGAATCTTTCAACAGCTGAGGACTGGGTGGGTACGGGAACCTAAGGAAGCCTACAAAATGATTTAGTGGACTTGGTTGCACTGTTAGCGAGCATTCAGGATACCAGTTTGAGGAAGTGACTTGGCGGATTCGGGAGGATTGTTGAGGAAAATATAGATAGGTGTGGAAGGTAGTATTAGGCCTATACTATTGAAAGGACATGATCAATACTCGAATCGGTGAAAGTCTTGGAGAATCTGAGAAGCTTCGGGGAGAAGTTTGCGACCTGGTTTGGGGACATAGGATGTTCTGGCTGTTACAGCTTAGCCATTTCAAGTGAGCTAGTGAGCATGACAGGATGTCAGACCCAAAAGGATATGACTTTCTAGAGTTTGTAGAAACGAGATCAATTTAGAGCACCCTGGGAAGAGAGGGTCATGCGAGGTGCGTATAGTAGAGGATTCTGGGAAGAGACCCATGAATTCTGATCATCAGGTGAAAAGGCCAGTAGGGTCGGAGTTAGTGCAGCACGTACAGGAAAACACACAAGGGAGTTTGTTGCTCCAATGGTTAGGCTGCTACATGGTAGAGGGGTTGGTCATGTAAGCAGATGGTGATCATGATTCCTTCAGATGTTGCGGGTATGTCATCTTCTACTGCTACTAGATGGATGCTAGGAATACGTATCACTTTGGAATTGTGTGTGAGTTTAAATAAGTCAGATCTCGGTTCAGTTCTCTGCTATTGTCTGAGTTTTCAAGGATCATATATGCCAGCCTGCATGGCAAAAAGTCCTTGATGAACCCACATAAAGACGTATCTTGCAGATTTGGTTCCTCATGTATTGTTATCATTTCGAATCTATGTCAGCATCTGTGCAAGAATATTATTTAGAGGATATTTGGTCAGCGTTAAAACGATAGTCCTCTAGTGAAGTCAGAGTTTGGTGGTTCTATCATTACTTGGGCATGGTCTACAGTTGTGTATGGAAGAACCTTGGATTTCAAGCAACTAACGTTACTAGGACAAGACATGTAACATGAAGATGGTAGTGCTAGTTGTGGGGGTTAAATGCATAAGTGGTTTCTCACTGGATGTTCAAGAGAATTGTATTTTTGCATGGGTTGTGTTTGGTTAGAGTTCAATGGTGCTGCAAGATTACAAGTGGGAACGAAGACTCG